GTAGACAGCGGCGATGCAAAGGTTGTCGTTTCCTGATTGCACTTTTATGGACGTGGCTTGCAAGTAATTTGTGGCAAACCTTTGGTGGCAGATGGTGTTTGATGCGTTCTCTTGTTAAGATGCCAGTGCCGCTGCGGGCTTTACCATCGGGATGATTTGTGCGGTAGAAGGTATAACCCCGTATATGGAAGTTATATCTGCTTGTAAGGTGGGTTTCAACCAGCAGCATGGCGTCGATGTAATTTACATTTAGGAATTGTGTTATTTCCAGTTTATGCCGTGAAATGCCGTTGGCATTCCACATGGATATTTTTTTTTTTTTTTTTTTTTTGCGTGTGGCTGGGGTGGATTTTCCATACCCGTTCGTAGTGCATCAGCGTAGGAGATGCCGTTGGTGGTACTGAGCGGACCGAAAGATGATCTGGCTTTGTATGGGAGTCTTCTTTGTTAGCAGGGCAGTGTGCGGAATCGTGGAAGTCTCCGCAGACTACGCAGACTGACCGAAGTGTGCAGTATGTCCTGGTGTGCCCAAACTCCTGGCAATTTGTGCATTGCACTGGTCCGTTTCGTTTGTGTGGTTCTTCCACTATGACCCTCCGGTGCAGTAAAAACTGCACCTTGTAGATCGGGTGCACTTCATTTTTCTTTACGGTTTTGCTATCTGGCTCGAGCTCGACCCTAAAGAGTGGTTGCGGCTTTTTATTTTTGTTGATAATATTGCTAACATTCTTAGCAGAGAATCTCTTGTCTTTAAGGGCTTCTAGTATCTCAGAGGGGGCGACGTCGGGTTCGATTCCTTTTAGTACTACTTGTAGCCCTTTGCTGCTTTTTAGTTGGTAGGTGTAAAAGTTCTTTTTTGTTTCCTCCAGGTATTTGGACACAGCTCGGAAGTGTTCTTCATATTTCGTTTGAACTTTAGTTTCGTGGATGTTCCCTTTAATAAGCGGAACAACATGAAAATTTTCGTCCCCGACCAGCGCAACAATTTTGTTGACCAGAGCGTTTGAGCTTTTTTCCCTAATATAAATAGGTGGGGGCTTTGGTTTCTTTTGAGTCACTTGCTCCGGCTCAGCTTGGCTCTCAACATCTGCTAAGAAGGAAAATCTGTTGCTGTTGTTGGAAATCCTGGTTTTTTTCTTTGGTTTGGATTGTACGGTTGATCTTAGGTTTTTACCAACCGTGTTTTGCGGACTAAGCTTACGCTTTATCTGGATGTAGGGATCCATACCTGTCTGTATGGCCGGAACCGCTTGTTGCTTATCAAATCTTACGTTTTTTGATGCTGTAGCAGTTTGCGATGGAGCCGTTGTTACCGTTTTCGCAATATTGGTCGTTGCTTTAGTTGTTGCCGTTACTTTTGCTGAGGTAGTAGAAATTGAAGCACTGCTTGTTGTTGGTGCGTCTCCTATAGAAGCCGGTGGTGGTGGGGTCTGGCATTGATAACTCCAAGAGGTAGGAGTTGGAATGAGTAGGACTGGTGATAGAGAGCGGGCTCTCGTGCTTTCGACGGCCAGTAGGGCCGGGTTGCTCTTTGTAGACGTTTTCTCTACTTCGGTATCGCGGGTTGAGAAATAAGCATAACAAGCGTTTCTTTGGTTTACGGAGCTTCTACGCTCATTATTTTGCTCGCCGCTCATTTATTTGAGCTTATCGCGTGGCAATATTTGTGAAAAACTGTATTCTTTCACTTATATTAGTAATTAGATATAGGAAAAATGAGCAGAAGTACCCACGCGTACCCTGAACGTCTTTTCGCGAAATAAAACTCGGCTATTTTGGAAGTTGTTTTAGTTACTCGGCGGAGCGATATAAAAACACGTCTGTTGTCATTGACAGTTTACTTGACTTTACTTACATTTGCATTTACAATCATTGTAAATTTACCTGAAGACATGAATGATGATTGGGAAGTTGGGATTACAGACATATATCTGAACAGTTACATACATAATACCTCTGATAAGCCCCATAAAGTAACAGAAAATTCAGAAAATATAATATCAGAATTTGTTAGCTTAGTTAATGCTGAAACATTCTAGAGTCAAAAATATCTCCTGAAAATGAATTAGTTTTTATATAAATTAAAAATTTAATTAATAATTAATAATGATAAATATTAAATTTAAAAACGTTGAATATTATCCTTTAGATATATGGAGTCAAAAAGAAATCTCGATACTAATTACTGATACAAATGGACAGTGGCGGATTTACGGGAGTGGTTTTAGGGGTTCAAATACCTACCAAAAAGCCCCGCAGGGCGGTAAAATTGAGTTGAAACTATTCGTTTTTCGTATTCGTATTTTTTTTCAATCGAAACAGATAATAGGTACTATAAATATGGCAACACAAAAATTTAGTCAGAATAAAAATAGTCATCATGGTGAAATCTTATCATCATTATAATCTTAATCAGTGCGGACGAGGTCTAAGTAATATAGATAGTCTTTATGTATCACCCCGAATCGTTCAACAAAGCCGAGGAATCGAAATCTTTTTTAGCGGACTTTTTAATTATATAAAACCACTATTTCTTTCTTGGATAACAGCTATAAAAACTCAGGCTGCAGAGACTGGAAAGGCTGTCATAGATGAATTCGGTGGAAAACCTTTAAGAAATATTATTCTGTAGTATGCTCACATATTGGGTACCCTCTTTACCAGCTATATTCAAATACAGTAGAATCCTGTTATAACGACTCCGCTTATAGTGTCCGTCCGGGTTGTGCGTCGAAAACTCGATGGTTTGGTTGGTCCCCATACAAAGTTATATGAAAGGGCCTCCGCTTAGAGCGTTTCCGCTTTTAGCGACAAACCGCTTATAAGAATGAAATTTTGCAAGAAAATTGAAAAATTTAACCGGATATTGCGTCGTGCCGGAAAAAATACAGTGCCATAGTTCCAAATTTAAGCATCAAAACACGCTGTTAGAAATGTATGTATGTATTTGTCAGTGATCGGCACCCTTGCTTGTGTGCGTAGCAGCGACACGAAGAATCTTGCACTGGCACAACTCTCTGTTAGTTTTAGCTGTCGCCTTAACAACGCTGCTGCGAGAGAGAGAGAGTCGAAGTGCAATGCCGACGTCACACTGCGTCTGCAGACCTCATAGTCGATTCCATGAGAAGTGCCGTTATATTTCTAGTTTTTTTCTACTTTTTTCCGAGTAAAACTGAATGTTTTAATTTGCCAAATGCAATATGTGCAATAATAAGCTCATTCAGTTTTCAGTATTTAGAAAAACCTATGTTTTTGAATTTAATTTATTAAATTTTTCGTTTTAATTAAAAAATTAATTTGATTTATTTTAAAAACCTATTACAAACACAGCAACCATAAAATAATCAAAAAAAAAAAATTTTTTTTCCTCCTTTTGCTTAGTGCGTCTTCCGGTTATAACGACGAAAAATGGTCGGTCCCTTGAAAGTCGTTATAACCGGATTCTACTGACAATGTTGCAAAACACAATATAAACAAAATATAAACATACCGCTGACCGGTCCAAGGAAGCCACATTAAGGGGACGTTCTCTTTGTTTTGGTCGAAATGAAGGCAAAGTTCGTCAATTTTTTGTGGGATAATGAAAAGGCGTACGAACTTCGGGTTATGCTTTTTGAATTCGTTTATTATTCAAGATTTTTTAAAAATTTATTTGATGGTGAAATTCAAAATGGCGGCTGCAAAATGGCGGCTTTCGTCTGCCTCCACGCGGCAAACTTCGTCCCAAAATTACGAGCCTGCAGCCTCTTGTAGTCAACAGAAATAGAAAATTGTTACCATTATGTAAAGTTAATATACTTGTGCGAGGCACTAACCTAGTGGCATCAAATTGCGGCCATAAATTGACCGCGTAATGAACGTTCGAAGTTTAAAGTTCGATTTTCGTACATTTTTTTTCAGTTAAACCACGTTGAAAAATTATAAATAAATTATTGTTTTTTTCCGGAGTAGGTTAGTGCCCTAAAGAAAAGAATATACTTTCATAAAAATTTTACATGAAGCAAATCGGTTCACAGGATGAAGCTGTGGACGCGTAATTTTGTTGAAAAACATGGTTTCGAGAAAAACGCGTTTAAAGTTTTTAGAGCATACCACAGCGCGCGTGACGCAGGTGTATTCGAGACGCTCTCATTCACAAACTTTTCATCGTATCGAAAAATCCTTTCACACACATATTCTACGGATATGTGGCTTTCAATTTTTGCAAAAAAAAAAAATCGATTTTTTGATCCAAAACAAAGAGAACGTCCCCTTAAATAGGCATGCGAGGCATTGGACCGCCACCTGTGCCGCACTTGGAAGTCGTTTTAAAAAGCGCGGGAGGCATTGGACCGTCCCTTGCGCCGACGATGAAAAAAAAAAAAAAAGGATGTGTGGGAGGCATGGCAAAGCCTCCTGCATCTACGTAGGAACAAATAGAGCGAGTGTGGGAGGCATGGCAAGCCCCCTACAAGCGAAGTGTGGTAGGCAGACCGCCAACTACACCAACGATGGAAGTAGGACGAATAGAGTGCCCGGCCAAAAAAATTGTTAAACTTCGTAAATATGCGAAGCAACGCAACAAGAGCTGCATTTATGCCAATGCTCAAGCTGCCATTAGTTTAAAAAAATATATAAATAACTCTTGTTCAGAGGAATGCAACTAATTTGTTGCTACCGCTTTGTGCACTTCCAAAAAAAGGCCAATGTTTGTGATTTAAATGAGATGTGGTTTTATATTTGTGTCTCTGAGTGTTATTTGTTTGTTCTTGTGTACAATGTTTGTGTGTTTTTTGTATACAAGATCGCGACCGACAACTTGCTTGCGAGGGTTTTGCGAGATCGAACGAAAATTGAATCGGTTAAGAGTTGCGAAAAGAAGTGATGATAATAGAGATAGATAAAACAAGATAAGCAAAGTTAGGCGCGATTGCAATTATGCGGGTGTTGGTAAACAACTTTACGTTTACGTTACGTTACATTATCAGTTGGACATTTGAATTTAGGATAAAATTTACAAATTAGGGGTTCTGCTCCGAACATGCTCCCCCCGCTGGAAGAGTCACGCTGACAGACGAGGTGGTCTCAAAGGGCAGAACGGCCAACTTGCCAACAGCTCTTCGGATGATGCCTGCAGCTGTTCGAATAACTGCAACACGGGCCACGCCATCTGGTCCAAGAACGATGCTCTCGACTCTGCCCATCCGCCATTGGAGTGAAGGAAGATTGTCGTCCTTAATGATGACTATATTGCCGGGCGACAAGTTTGCCTTTTCTGATCGCCATTTCCCACGTTCCTGGAGTAGCGATAGGTAGGCAGTGCTCCACTTGTGCCAAATCGCCTGCTGCATCTGGCAAACTCGCTGCCAGCGACTTAGCCGGTTGATGTTGAGGTGGGTGATGTCGGGTTCGTCTATGGCGTTGAAAGCGGTGCCAATAAGAAAATGTCCAGGCGTGAGAACCTCCAAGTCGCTACGATTTTCTGAAATGGGGCAGAGTGGTCGAGAATTAAGCATGGCAGACACTTCGCAAACTAGAGTACGAAGTTCATGAAAAGTTAAAACCGATCTTCCAACCACCCTATGAAAATGATATTTGGCTGCTTTTACTGCGGCCTCCCACAAGCCACCAAAATGAGGCGAGCGAGGGGGTATGAACTGCCAATTAATTCCATTAGACAACAGGTCATTGCGAAGCTCGATATTTGGAGGATTAGCGAGGAAGATTTGCCTGAGCTCTTGCAACTCGTTTCTCGCACCAACAAAGTTTGTTGCGTTGTCCGACCAGATCGTGTTGGGCTTGCCCCTGATGCTGGTGAAACGCTTGAGAGCGGCGAGGAACGATGCGGTTGACAAATCCTCTTCTAACTCCAAGTGAGAGGCCTTAGTTGCGAAGCAAATAAAAACTGCCACGTAGCACTTCGCAGGCGGTCGATTCCTGACTTCCGATTTCGAGAAGAATGGGCCACAAAAGTCGATTCCAGTCGTTGTAAAGGGACGACTTGGTTGCACTCGGCTGGCCGGCAAGGGGGCCATGATGTGCTCCATCATTCTCGGCTTCAGTCTGAAACACCTGATGCATTTGTTAACAATAGCTGCGACTGTTTTTCTGCCTCCAATTGGCCAAAACCTCTGGCGCAAGGCAGCTAGTAGACTTTGCGGTCCTGCGTGCAAAAACTTGTGATGAAAGTGAGCGACGATTGCTTGAGTGACAGGATAATCCTTTGGCAGCAAAATGGGATGTCTCGCATCGTAGTCCAGAAGCGAGTTTTGCAAGCGACCACCAACACGAATTAATCCTGAGTCATCTAGAATAGGATGCAACGACGAGAGCTTGCTATTTGATGCAACCTGCTTGTTCTTTCGCAATGCTTTGTAGTCCTCTGCGAAGAAAACACGCTGGATCCCTTTGATGAGTAGATGTGTGCCACCTTTGACGTCATCGACTGTGAGTGGTCCTTTGCGACGCGTTTGATTTTGGAATTTGAGAAGCCAGAACCGGTATATATATCCAAAAACTCGCTGCAGCTTTCCAAATGAGTTTTGAAATTTGCAATCGTACGAGATATCCTGCTTCTCGGTTACAACTAAAACCATGCGACGACGTTCAGGCAAGTCGTCCACAATAGGCGCTATGTTTGGCCAGCACGATGAATCCGAACGTAAAAATGGAGGTCCCTCTCGCCACAGGTTCGACTCCAAGAGCTCGAGAGGTGAGCATCCACGCGATAATATATCGGCAGGGTTCCAGCGTGTGGGTACATGACGCCATGTCATGCTCTTGGTGCGATCCTGAATCTGCGCAATTCTGTTGGATACAAAGATATTAAAATCTGACGGAGGTTTACGAATCCAAGAAAGCGTTATGGTTGAATCAGACCAACAATAAAAATTGCAATCAGATGAAATGGTTAGGGCAATGTTTGAGATGAGCTCTGATAATAATGTGGGTATGGTGAGGGTTTTTAGAGGCGAAACTCTAGATTTGGAACAGAGCAAATGAGTTGAGACACAGCCATGCACTTCAGATCTGACGTAAACGCAGGCGCCATACGCTGCTAAGCTTGCGTCACAAAAGGCGTGTATCTCCAACGACGAGTTGGGCTGCATGACGAAACGAGGAAATTTTAGATGATTGACCGCTGACATCTGCTTCATGTGCTCCAGCCATGAGGAGTGCAAAGATTGCGGAAGCGACTCGTCCCAATCCAGTTTGTCTTTCCAAAGAATTTGCAGAAATATTTTCAATTTCGTAACAATCGGTGCTATCAATCCGAGAGGGTCGTAGAACTTGGCAATGGCCGATAAAATCGATCTTTTCGTTGAACCGCTTTCTGTCATGGTTCCAGACAACGAGAAAAGCAAATGATCCGATTTTGCATCCCAATATAAGCCGAGTGCTTTGAGGACATCAGTTCCATCATGAAACCTGAGCGTTTTCTCGCGATCAATTTCTAACTCGCCTTCTAAAGCTGCTGCCTCATTTGAACACCATTTTCGAAGTGGAAAATGACCCATGGATAGCAATTCCTTCACCTGCTCACGAATTTGAGCTGCCTCCTCGATCGAGTCACCTCCAGAAATAAGATCGTCCACATAAAAGTCTCGGCGAACTATTTTGGCTGCCAATGGGAACTCAGCTTCCTCATCATATGATAGCTGCTGCATAGCACGAATTGCCAGAAATGCAGCCGGCTTAGTGCCGTAGGTAACCGTATCGAGCGTATAAGCCTTAACTTGTTGCTTTGGGTCGTCACGCCATAAGATAGACTGCAAATAGTTATCGGGGCTAGTGACACGGACACATCGATACATTTTGCAGATGTCCCCGCATAATGCAACTTTGAAAAATCGAAAACGAAGCAGTGTGCTGAAGATTTTAGGCTGTATTGAGGGACCTGAAAACAACAAATCATTTAGAGAGTACCCTGAGGTCGTTTTAGCTGAGCCATCGAATACGACTCGTAACTTTGTGGTTGTACTATCTGGCTTCTGCACGCAATGATGAGGCAAGTAATATTGCGAGGCTACTGATTGCTCATAAGCAAGCGACATATGCTGTAGATCGATGTATTCCTTGATGAATGCAGCGTATTGCGACTTCAATTCCACATCCTTGAGCAATTTGCCCTCTAGCGTCTTAAATCGACGTAAGGCACGACCGTAAGAATCACCGAGCATGTCAAAACTGGCTTTGGCAGGCAAACGAACTGAGTATTGCCCAGAACTGAGTCGAGAAAAGGTATTCTGGAATAGCTACTCGCACAATACGTCTTCATCAGTTGTGACGATTGGAGATCCACAGTAGCTGTCGATTTCCCAAAACCGTTTGACAATATCTGGCAAGGAATCGGTTTCCGATTGGATGACGGGCTCAGTGGTCACCGCAAGTGCTGAACGCTTGAAGTTTGAGAACGAAATCCCTCCAGATGCGATCCAGCCAAGACGCGTTTTTTGCAAAATGGGCAGATTTTCGGCTAATCGCATTTGCCCAACGCAAAGCAATTCTTAAAAGATGCCAGCTCCTATCAACAAATCGATACGCTGACTATTGTAGAACCACGGATCAGCAAGAACTAGATTCGGTGGCATGTTCCACCCTAGGGCGTTTAAATCGAAATGAGGCTGATAATCTGTAATTTTGCCACTAATTACTGCTGTCAGTGCTGTGCGATATTTTCTATCCCTGGAGTGTGCTTCGAGATCGACGGTTGCGTTTGATGAAAATGTTGATTCACCAACTCCAGATACAGATGTGTTAGCTTGACGAGTAGTGAGCTGCAACTGCTTAACGAAACGAGAAGTGACGATGTTGATTTGAGCACAAGAATCTAACAAGGCTCTGCAGGGAACAAATGCACCAGATCGATTTCTGATGTATACGATGGCAGTTGCAAGCAGCACATAATCGGTCTTACTATCTGACGAGACAACAGGTGGAGCTTCAGAGAATGATGATGATAAAAGCGAAACGACATTTTGAGGGTTAATAGCGGTAGTTGGAGGAGAGGGTGTGGCGATGGCATTAGAATCGATGTGAAGCAACGAATTATGCTTCGAATGGCACCGTTTGCAAGAAAAAGACTTGCACTGTTGCATACCATGGCCTTTGCGCAAACAAATTAGGCACGAGTGCAGCCTTTAAGCCTCCTTATATAGCAAGGTGGGACTGAGGTTTAAAAACTGAGCGCATTTAGAAATAAAATGGTCTCTACTTTCACACATGCTACATGATGAGGTATTTAATGATGATGCTACGAGAGCGTTGTGAATACTTTTGTTAGTGTTTGGTTTTCCCACCTAGGTGTCTGGATTACCATAGCGTTTTCCAATATTCTCCAACATGCGGCACCTCTTTTCCAGGAATGCAGCCATATCTTTCCACTTCAGCAGCTTGTTTGCCGGCAGACCCTCTTCCCATTTCTCCCGAGTGTGGCGATTCAACTTCGAAGCTACCATATAGATTAGAAGACCGTCCATGATCTCCTGTGTCGTTGTCATGGTATTCAGCGCACGCAGATGCGAATTCATCTGGTCGCTTAAGCGTCGTAAGCTTGTTGCCGATCCTTGCTCCACACCTGAAATCCCGCAGATTGACCGTATATGTGCCTGAAAATGCAAAAGTTTGTTATCAAATCTCGAAACTAGTAATTCGATAGCCTTCTCATAGTTAGCTTCCGTGGGCTCCAGTGAACGAATTGTGTCCAACGCTGTGCCATCCAAGCATGACCGAAGATGCTGGAGCTTTTCCACGTTGCTCAGGTCATCATTATTGCCCACAATGGTGTTGTACATTGCGTAGAAATCAGGCCAATCGATATAGGCACCGCTGAACCTTGGCAACTTGAACTCTGGGAGCCTTGTGGCATGCGCAGCGGGTCTCGAATCACCACCGACATGTGGAAGGGCCGTAGAATTCACGACTGAAAATCTACGCTGCTTGCCAAGCTCACGCGAAATTTGCGATTTTGCCGCGAGGAAGATGTTTGCGAACTTTGACCGAGCGTCACTGTACAACTCCTGCAAGTCTAACCTTTCGACCGCGGTTTGACTTTTATCAAAGTCCACTTGCATTTGATCGACAAAATCAAATCGCACTTGAAGATCAGTCACGTCGAAGTTGACCGCCTCATCTGACTCCAGGTAGCTTTTTAAAGCTTCTACCTGCCTTAAGGTAGCATCAGCCTTTGCTTTATAAAAGTCCAAGTCACTTGGTACCGCCGCGGGTCTTGCACCAACCGAATCACTATCAGCCATCATTTTCAAAAAGAGTATACGAAAGTCACTATCACCGTAAGCTGCCGATGCAACTGCACGAAATTGAATGCAAGAGACGAAAATGCAACGGAACAAATTCGCAAGCGTTCAGTGACCTAACACGGCTTATATATGCACTGCACTTTATATAACCAAGCTCAAACTGTGGTTATGTATACGAACAAGATCACAAAAGAAAGCGCGCCAAATAATACCCAAGCACAGGAATATATGTATGTATGTTTGTAGGCCTCTTCACCGAATTGCGAAGTGGTGTCCAAATGCACTGATAGGCCTTTTCACCGATTTGTGAAACCGAAAAACGAAATAAAAAACACACCCCACGTAGATCACGTCGGGGTCACCAAATGTTCAGAGGAATGCAACTAATTTGTTGCTACCGCTTTGTGCACTTCCAAAAAAGGCCAATGTTTGTGATTTAAATGAGATGTGGTTTTATATTTGTGTCTCTGAGTGTTATTTGTTTGTTCTTGTGTACAATGTTTGTGTGTTTTTTGTTTACAAGATCGCGGCCGACAACTTGCTTGCGAGGGTTTTGCGAGATCGAACGAAAATTGAATCGGTTAAGAGTTGCGAAAAGAAGTGATGATAATAGAGATAGATAAAACAAGATAAGCAAAGTTAGGCGCGATTGCAATTATGCGGGTGTTGGTAAACAACTTTACGTTTACGTTACGTTACGTTACATTATCAGTTGGACATTTGAATTTAGGATAAAATTTACAAATTAGGGGTTCTGCTCCGAACAACTCTAATTCAGAAAGCTGCGCGAAAGTGCTAGCTGAAAATTCAATTTTACTAACCTCTGTTAGGCTTCATACTAACAATATGAGATGGTATAAACTTAAAATAAGAAATTAACGTAGTATCAAATGTAAACCAGTTTGAAAAATTTGAATATGTAAGCCATCTCATATACTCTAACAACTTATAGCACCACATAGGAATCAGGATAATTTTTTTTTTTTTTTGTTTCTATGCGATTATTATTATATATATTGTCATAATGAGTCATGTTTATATTGCGTTTGATATTTTTTTATTGATCCTGACTCCTTAGAGTTCAGGATAACTTATGAATTGGTCATTGCTTTCCTGGTTATTCAAATTTTTATTTTTCCTATAGGTATGAATTAATCCAGTTAATTTTATCCCGAAAACTTGTTTTGAAAAATTTATATTATTTTCAATATTACTTGATGATTAATTTGATTTTGAATTTGAACTAATTTTTTTTTTTTTTGGACTGTTTAACGTTCTAGGGACTCAGAGATACTTAACTGATAAGACTTTAACGACAGTAGTCGGAGTAGAACTGTACGAGCAGTAGCTCCCTATTCATATACAGGGTGCGGCGCTTAAATCCGGACAAATTTGAATTTAAATTTCCCGCCACATAGTCATTCCTCCAGAGATCGCTACTGGCGTTCTTGTAAGCCATGGGCATCTAGTAAATAGTCATAACCTAAAAATGGCCGGGATGTTAAGTACAAGTGCGGAGTACAACCGAAGAGCCGCGATTATCGAAAGACTTCGCGCTGGGCGTTCGCCGACAGAAATAATTCGATTCTTCGGGTACCCGAGATCAACTGTGTACGATATTACATCCAAGTACAATGCTTCTGAAGAGTCAAGGGAAGGTTTTTCTAACCCAGCGAGGAGAAATCATTCAAGGGGACGCATTTCACGAACTCCGGCAGTCGTGGAAAAGGCTCAGGCGCTGATTTTGGAGGACCCAGGACAATCGTTGCGGAAATTGGCATCAGTATTGGGTGTCAGCGAGCGAACCATGCGTCGGATTGCAGAGGAGGACCTTCGTTACGCATGGTTCGCTCGGAGTTCGTGAAATGCTCATTACTGTTAATGCCAAACGAAGCGTATACATTTTTACAAATCTATTTTGTGGGTCTTGAAGATGCACGCGTGGAAACCAGGGACTGTAACGGTTATAATTAAAAAAGCAAAAAATTACAAAATAAAAGTTATTTCTTAATTTTTACGAAAAAATTGATTTTTAATACTTAAAATTAATTTTAATAATCAAAAATTAGTAATAATTATTAAGTATCAATTTTTATATAAAAATTACGCAATAACTTTTATTTTCAATTTTTATTTTATAAATTGAAAAATAAAAATTATTCAATAACTTTTATTTTAAAAATTGAAAATAAAGATTGAATCTATATATATATCTAATATATCTTTTGATCCATAGAAGCCAGATCCAATGTGTGTGTATATATATGATCTACACATCAATACCTTTCAGATGGTATATAATAAGTATGTATATATACATATATAGATTCAATCTTTATTTCCAATTTGTAAAATAAAAGTTATCGAATAATTTTTATTTTTCAATTTATATAATAAAAGTTGAAAATAAAAGTTATTGCGTAATTTTTATATAAAAATTGATACTTAATAATTATTACTAATTTTTTATTATTAAAATTAATTTTAAGTATTAAAAATCAATTTTTCGTAAAAATTGAAAAAAAAAATTTATCTTGTTTTTGAATTCGCCATGAAAATTTAACTTATGACAATTTTTTCCAATTTTTTTGGAGACTGTTTTGGGCTTCAATTTTTTTAAACTCATAATAATTATTTGCGGTCCCTGGTGGAAACACGTTGAAATACAAATACCTCAATTCATTGTTTGCCAATCAAATCGTTGGCGAGCTGGACACTCTCAATAATTCTTTTTTAATCAGAGCATGACTTTTTAACTAATAAACCACACACGCATACACTTTCAATAAGTAGGATATATTTTTATACTCTAGAAATGAACGCGAAAACCGTACGATTGTGGATATGGCAAGGACATTGAAGTATTCGAGCTGCAAAGTTGATTTTCCAGATGCGATGTAAGCAGAGCTTGTGACGACAGT